TCGGGTATAGGACAGCCTCTATCCTGTTGTGCCTTGCTATGAAGCGGCCTTTTATTTTCTTTGGAAGGGGGGTTCCTATATCTCGATGACCTGCGGCCCTTCCGGTTAGATTTAACTTCTCGAGTAGCTTTATGTGGTTTTCTATGTCTGGACGTAATTAACCCATGCACATGTAAAACCATGACTCACAGTGAAAGTGTACACCTCTGCGCAGAGTTAATAAACTGGTATACTAGCCGTGCTCACGGTCACGAGCGGCCAAGGGATTCTTACACCATAAATGAGCTCTTGTTTAATTGTGCTTTACTAAGTCTTCTTTAAGCTAATTATTGTATGAGTATAATGATCATGTGTTATGGGAATTATGGTACTACCTTGTTGCTAATAAATGCTAAACTTGATCATACACATAAAAGCTACTTGCAGTTCAACCAGTGTCAGCTATTTGTGCCTCATGAACCCTTAGTTATCTTGTTAAGTACGACATGTACTTATGCCTTGCTTTATCTTTTATATTGGAAAAATCCCGGATGGGTAACAGATCAAGATTGAATTGAAGATTATCGTGAAGAGTATTAGGCTTGATGTTCACCAGTTGACGTCCCTATTGGAGCTTCCGCAAGAGAGTTATCTTAGTAGTTATTATATTTTTGCTTGAGACTATGTATTGAATACTTATTCGCTATGTAATAAACATTGTGATGGTACAATTCAAAATTTGTCCACTTATGTGTGCGACCGTTCCTAGGGTGCACATAAGACTTTTATACATCCTCTTTTGTTCTTAAAATGAGGTGTGACACGCAGTCGTCGTCGTCGTCGACCTCGACCTCTGCCAGGATATGCCGGTTGCGGCACTCCTCGCTGCAGAACGCCCTTTCGCCTCTGCAAGCACGAGACCAAAGTACCAAACGCCGTTGTCAGTCGTCACAAGAGAAATCTCCAGCCAGGAGATATAGTTACGTTAACATATGTATGGCATGCGCGCCTTGTACCGTTGTACGGACCTGTAGATGTATATGTCCGTGCCGTCGGCGAGCTCCCTGTGGCAGAAGAAGCACCGCTGCAGGAACGAGCAGCTCGCCGACGTCGTCGTCGGCAATGCACGGGAAGAGGAAGAGCGGCTAAAGGAAGCAGAGGACGACGTGCCGTCATTGAGGTCGCTCTTGGTCGTGGCTTCGCCGTTGGCTTTGCTTGTGAGTTGAGCCGGCGCTCTTGCTGCCGCTGCTGCTGGGTGCAGCAGGTGTTTCTTCTGCTGCTGCGGCGCCGCCGCCGCCGCCGTATCCAAGAGCAGGCCGAAACCGGCATTGGCAGCCATATGTGTTGAGCTTGATGTTGCGTGTGTTGATATGTGTAGGTATTTAATTGATTTCACTCATGGAGTTTGGTACGTGCTTGCTTATAAAGAAGACCGGGTGTACTCTATAAGCTCCTAAGAGCATCCGTAGTGTGCGGTTCTAGGCTGGTTCTATACATTAAATGTGAGCATAGGACCTGGTTCGATACACTGTGCACCCGGTTCTACGAAGAAGTTGGTGCTATGCATCGAACCCGCTCCCATCCTCTTCTCTCTCTTGCGCATGGGAAGTTTAGACAGAGGAAAGGAGGGGAATGGGCAGAAGGTAATGATTGGTGGCCCCACTATGCATGTAGACCCGGTTCTACACATTGCAAGCCAAATATTAGACACCATCAAATCATCGTGGGACCCACCCAAAAGGATGACCCCGCATCCATACACTGCGGACGCTCTAAGGGCGTCCCAACAAGGGACTGGAGCTAGCTAGGAAGTCTACGTGGAGCAGAGAGAGCAGGAAAAGAACTCCTCCCTTGCTAGTACCCTGTCGCTATGCTCGCACGGTTTCCAGGGGAGCTGCACCTCTCTGACTTCTTGACCCACTTCCACGGCTCACATTTTTTGTCCTTTCTTTACTTTTATACCCGGCCATGTCAGCTAGCGATTTATGCATGTTGTTGAGAAGTGGCGGATTTCACAGCTGAGTATTCCGCGTACATAAAAATTTTCGATCTAAATGTGCAATAATAATAAGTAAAGTACAAGATCTAAACATAGTGGCATAGGTTGTTCAAATTTCTAAACCTTTCGTCTCTAAGCACATGAGAAATGTACATAGTGAGCCGATATGAGTTTCGATAATTCATCTAACACTGTTGTGCTAGTGTGCTCACCTTCCTTCAACAACCTTCAAGGCTCAAGGACTCAAGCAGCAAGCCGGAGCCGAACCGTGGCCGTCGCGGGCTGCCGGAGCGCTGGGCTCGCCGCCGCCCGCCGGAGCTGGGACGCTAGGGCTGGGCGCAGCCGCGCCCACGTCCGCGTAGGTCGCGCTCGGCCTCTCGCGAAGCGCCGCAGGGCCAAGGGAAGGGACGATGGCCGAGGGGTAGGGGGCTTGCGGCGTGACGCCGTGCGCCCGTGCTCACGAGGCTCGCCGTCGTCGATGCCCGATGGGATCCCTTCCTTCCACCACTGCTCTCTAGCTATCTACGCCGTTCCTCGCTGCCTCTAGACGAGATTGGTGCGATGCGAGCGGCAGCCAGGAAATGGCTCGCTCTTTTTTTTACTTTGGTGGGCTGATAATCGGTGCTTTCTGTTGGGCTTTGGGCCAGATTTGCAACATCTAGCAACTATACAAGTTATACCAGTATACGTATACATATATGTATTTGTGTTTGTTTCAAAAATCTTGGGTATTCCATGGCATACAGGGGAATACCCCTGGCACCGCCCCTGTTGTTGAGGACGCCTTAAGATGCCTACAGTACATTTTGCATGCGGGAGTATAAGGTTCTGTTTAGTACAACTTTAGCTAGCTAAATCCGTTTGGTAAACTAAAACAGCTAGCCCTAGTGGTTAAGGGCGTGTTTGGATCGTTACCACACTCTGTCACAAGTCTACTCGCCTCATCTCGCCTAACTTTTGGTTCACTACTGCATGTGCAGCATAATGCCGCACACCCTGCTTAGCGCGCCAACCATTCATTTTGCATGTCGTAACTTGCCAAAAGTGTGGCGCCGTTTTTTATGCGCCAGACTTGCGGCCTGGTCGGAGCTCTGGCGTGGCAAGCTGTGGTAGTAAGCCAAACAAGCCCTAAAAACAATAAAATGACAATAATACCTTTTCCCCTTGCCCATCCGATCTAAGGTTGCTGGCCTCTAGCCAAGCTAAAGGAATGGCCGATCTAAAAGGCTCGCTCATCTCTTTGGCCGACCGTTACTCTTCCCCTCTCATCCTAGCCTTGCCCAGCCCACCTCACGTCGGCGAATCCACCCCTTGTGCCCAGCAATTCCACTCAGCTTCAGATCTACTCCCACGCTTCGCCCGCATCCCACCACACGATGCCCCGACGAATCCCAGCGCTGCACCTTTCCCACACGGCCTGGCAACTCCGCTCCGGTCCATCTGCGCTCACGATTTAGGTCCGCCTCCGCTACTCCGCCCCGACGACTCCTGGCGCCTCGCCTCGTCGCACGAAGGATGAGCAGTTCTTGGAGGGCCCATGCTCGAGGTGTCAGAAATGATAGACAATATAAACGACGAAGAACAGTATATTAAACACAGGGGACATGAGATTTTAACGTAGAAAACCCTCTCAAGGAGGAAGGGAAAAACTACGGGCACCAGCCAGTAAATCTTCACTATATCGGGTGAGGTTATAAACGTCGGGGATTTACAACTTTTCTTATCCCAAGACGACGGCTTACAGAAAGTATATATAGAGATGGAAAAATCCTACGACGATCCGTACCACGGCCCAAGCCTCCCGGCGATGGGCCTCATTTCGCTCCGGCAGAAGTTAAACTTTATCTTGTACATAACTGAATTTGGATCGCAGTTTCAAAGGAGGATGCCACTTCTTTCAGGTCCACGATATGCCAGACGCTTTTGAGGCTGTATTTTTCGAAGATTCATGCCATGGGTAGCGCCTTTTTCACCCATGCAAAACAACTCTCGGAGCGGTTGGAGAATATGTACCAAACGCGCCCTAATAATAGTAAGGCCTTCGCCGTAGTGTGCGTGGCCCAGCACCCCAATGCCAACGGCAGGTCGTCCATCCATGGGCAGCTGTCTGTCTCTGTCGAGACCTACTTTTGCCCTACAGCCCGCCACGCGTGTACTCGCACACTTACCTTTTGAGTCTCATCTCTAATTCAATCGAACGCTCGCTGTTGAGATCCCATTGGACGCGACCTCATCCATCAGACCATCACAACTCAACAAACTCCAACGACGACCGGCCTCGTTTCGTTTCGGTAGAAGTTAGCTTTTATTTTATACATAACTGAATTTGGATCACAACTTAATAAACTCTATTTTGAGATAAATTTTTTTTTAGCATAAAACGAACATTCACCCTGAAACAACAAAGAAATACTTCTGATGCCAAATAACCTCTTGGGCTAAACAGTTATACCAACTAAACTTAGCAACAGAAACGAGCTTTATCACCATATCAGCAGGATTATCATGTGTGCTTATCTTACATACCTTCAGCTTACCTTACGCGACAACATCACGAACATAATGGTATTTGACATCAATGTGCTTCGTTCTCTCATGTAACATCTGATCTTTAGTGAGACATATAGCACTTTGACTGTCACAAAATAAATTAATGTAAGAATCATCTCCACAAAGCTCAGCAAATAAACCTTTCAACCAAACCGATTCTTTACATGGTTCAGCAACAGCCATGTATTCTGTTTCAGTGGTAGACAGGGAAACAACGGGCTGCAATGTTGCCCTCCAACTCACAGCACACCCACCAATAGTGAACACATAACCTGTGAGAGATCTCCTCTTATCCAAATCAGCAGCAAAATCTGAATCCACGTAGCCAGTGAGTCCCTTATCAGTCTTGCCAAACTTCAAACAAGCATTTATTGTGCCATGAAGGTACCCGAAAATCCACTGAACCGCCTTCCAATGTTCTTTACCAAGATTAGCCATGTATCTACTAACCAAACTCATAGCATATGATAAATCAGGACGAGAGCAAACCATGGCATATCATCAATGAACCAACAACACTAGAATATGGAACTCTTGACATGTACTCAAAATCCTCATCAGTACTAGCACATTGTAAAGCTGATAATTTAAAATGAGGAGCAATAGGAGTACTAACAGACTTTGCATCATGCATGTTGAAACGATGAAGAACTTTCTTAATGTAACTTTGCTGACTAAGAAATAACAAACCAGAATTTTTGTCTCTTGTAATCTCCATACCTAGAATTTTCTTAGTAGCACCAAGATCCTTCATTTCAAACTCATTACTCAACAGTTTCTTTAACGTAGAGATTTCTTTCTTGCTCTTGGCAGCAATCAACATATAACATCAAGTATATAGGTGATCCATCAACAAATTTAATGTACACACAACTATCAAATTCAGACCTCTTAAAACCATGTGACATCATAAAAAAATCAAACCTTTTATACCATTGATGAGAAGATTGTTTCAAACCATATAAGGACCTTTTTAATTTGCAAACATGATCCTCCTTACCAGGTACTATGAACCCTTCTGGCTGGTCATGTATATCTCCTTCCTCGAGCTCTCCATGTAGAAACTTAATCTTTACATCTAATGGCTAAAGCTCAAGATCTCGTATAGCAACAATACCGAAAAATGTATGAATTGAACTATGCTTTATAACTGGAGCGAACACATCATTATAATCAACACTAGGAATCTGACTGAAACATTTTGCTACTAACCTTGCTTTAAATCTTGGAGGCTCACTGGAAGATAAATCCTCCTTTCTCTTGAAGATCTATTTGCAACAAACGACATTCTTTTGTTTAGGCAAGCGCACAACATCCCATGTGCCATTTTTCTCGAGTGACTGCATCTCCTCTTGTATAGCGGAAATCCACTTCTCGCAGTCGCCAGAAACAACAACTTCAGTGTACGTAGCCGGCTCATGAATGTTCTCCACCTATTCAGCACAACTAAAGGCATAATGAACCATATCACATTCCTCAATTAAACATGTACGAGGTCCACAATTCCTCTTTGTTCTGCGATCTGCAATAGACTGATTTTGAGGCTACAAAACAGGAGGTGAGTGCTGAACAATATCATGAACATTGTTATCAACAATTTTAGTTTCCTGATCATCTACGTGCTCCACCTGCACGCTAACATGTTGCTGTTCCTCATCAGAACCAACTAAAGAAACATCTGTAGACAAAGTTATCATTAAACATAACAGATTCATTGAAAACAACGCTCCTGCTCATGAAAGTCTTTTTAGTTTTAGAATTCCATAACTTATATCCTTTAACTCTAGAACCATAACCAAGAAACAGACACTTAATGGCTCTAGGTTCTAGCTTTTCATTATCAACATGAGCATAAGCAGTGCAACCGAAAACTCTTAGATGTGAATAATCAGCAGGCATACCAGACCATACCTCAATAGGAGTTTTCTTATTAAGTCGGATAGAAGGTGACCGGTTGATCAAGTAATAGGCGGTGTTAGCAGCCTCAACCCAAAAAACGCCTGTTCATATGATCATTGGACAACATGCAACGAGCCCTCGAGATAATGGTTCGGTTCATGCGCTCAGCCACACCATTTTGTTGAGGAGTGTACGGGATGGTGTGGTGACTGACAATGCCTTCTTCCCTGTAGTAATCATTAAAAGCATCCGAACAGAATTCATCGCCATTGTCAGTACGAAGCAATTTTACCTTCTTTTCGGTTTGCCTTTCTATCATAACTTTCCATTCTTTAAAAGCAGCAAAAGTATCATCTTTATTTTTCAGAAAATAAGGCCACACTTCTAGAATAATCATCAATAATGGTAAGCATGTAATGAGCATCACCATAAGAGGGCTTACGAGACAGCCCCCACAAATCAGCATGTACATAATCAAGTGTACCTTTGGTGATATGAACAGATGCATTGAATTTTACCCTCTTGTGCTTACCAAAAACACAGTGCTCATAAAACTTCATCTTACCCACAACGCAGCCATCCAGCAGGTCTCTCTTGATCAATTCTGCCATACCAAGTTCACTCATATGCCCAAGACGCATATGCCAGAGGTTAGTCTTACTTGGTTCATCATTAGAAACAGTAGCAGCAGTGACGGAACCATGTAAAGTACTTCCTCAAAGAACATATAACTTTACAGAATTCATATCACCTATCATATAAATGAGAGAGCCTTTTGATACCTTACACACTCCACCTGAACCAGAGTGTTTGTATGCCTTGGCATCAAGTGTGCTGAGGGAGATGAGATTTATGGCCATCCATGATATGTGTCTCACATCTTTCAGTGTGCGTATCATGCCATCATGCATCTTGATCTGAACGAAGCCAATGTCCATGATCTCACGTGGGTTGTTATCTCCCATACGCACGACATCTCCACTCTACACAGACTCGTAAGAACTGAACCAATCTCTATTAGAGCATATATGAAACGAGCATGTAGAATCAAGTATCCATTCATCACGACCAACAACACAACCAGTAAAAACAACAAGAACATCTCCTGAATCAGAACTATCAGCAGCGGAGACAACAGAGGCCTTACCATCACCATCGGATTTATTTTTCGGTTTATACGTACCGTTTCTTTTCTCCTTATTCTGCAGCTTCCAACAATCTTCAATGACATGAGTATCTTTCTTACAATACCTGTAGAACTTATCCCTGCCTCTGGACTTCGAACGGCCTTTACCGTTCTTGCTCTTATCTCGACTATTGTTGTTGTTGTAGGTTCTCTGCTCAGGCCTGCCTCTAACCTGCAACACTTCGCCCTTGGAGGATGACACGTCAGACTGAACCATATCTTTCATCTTCTCCCTCATCTGGAGGGCCTCATATACTTCCACAAGGGTTAGTTCATCACGACTTAATAGTATGGCATCTCAGAAATTTGCAAACGAACTAGGCAGTGAGCATAACAGTAGAAGAGCTAAATCTTCATCATCATATTTTACCTCCATCGACACTAGGTTGGCAACGATCTCCTTAAAGATCGATAAGTGGTTCATCACCGAACCACCTTCTTGCAGCTTGTGCGTGAACAACTTCATCTTCACGTGCATCTTACTGGTTAGATCCTTGGACATGCAGATCGATTCCAGCTTGAGCCAAAGTTTTGCGACAGTTTTCTTCTGCAGCACTTCTTGCAAAATATCATTATGTAGATGAAGGCGAATCAGAGACAGAGCCTTACGATCCTTCCATTTCTCTTCAGCGGTCCATGACTTCTGCCCTTTGCCTCCGAAACCATCCAGCGCCTCATCAAGATCCGAAGATTGTGCCAGAATCGCCCGCATCTTGACTTGCCACAGCGAAAATCTCGTCTTGTAATCCAGTAGCGGTAGATCAAACTTCATCGATGCCATCGCAAAACCCTAATGTGAAACCAAGCTCTAGTACCACTTGTTAGAAACGATAGGCAATATAAACGACGAAGAACAGTAGATCAAGTACAGGGGACACGAGATTTTAACGTGGAAAACCCTCCCAAGGAGGAAGGAAAAAAACCATGGGCACTAGCCAGTAAATCTTCACTATATCAGGTGAGGTTACAAACGTCGGGGATTTACAACTTTTCTTATCCCAAGACGACGACTTACAGAAAGTATATATAGAGATGAAAAAACCCTAATAGGCGACGATCCGTACCGTGGCCCAAGCCTCCCGGCGACGGGCCTCACTTCGCTCCGGCAGAAGTTTGCCTTAATCTTATACATAACTAAATTTAGATCACAAATCAACAAGAGAAACCAGGACGGGGATGCCACTTCTTTCAGGTCCACGATATGCCAGACGATTTTGAGGCAGTATTTTTCGAAGATTCACGCCATGAGTAGCGCCTTTTTCACCCATGCAAAACAGCTCTTGGAGCGGTTGGAGAATATTGGAGAATATGTACCAAACGCGCCCTAACAATAGTAAGGCCTTCGCCGTAGTATGCGTGGCCCAGCACCCCAACGCCAACGGCAGGTCGTCCATCCATGGGCAGCTGTCTGTCTCTGTCGAGACCTACTTTTGCCCTCCAGCCCGCCACGCGTGTACTTGCACACTTACCTTTTGAGTCTCATCTCTAATTCAATCGAACGCTCGCTGTTGAGATCCCATTGGACGCGACCTCATCCATCAGACCATCACTCCATCAGTGACACCAAAGGCCAGATCGATGAGCAGCGCTAGCAGATCACAGTTCACGCGTCACTCTCGCTGCTTTATTTCCACAGTTTCCAGTGCCTGTGCCACCTGTGATGATGGGTAGGCCTAAGTACTCCCTCCGTCCCAAAAAGAAAAACGTTATGGGATCCGTGTAGATTAAATTTTGTTAACTTTAATTTGGCTCGTAAAAAATAAATCTGTCATCTTTTTGAGCCTACGCGTGTACTCTTGTCATCTTTTTGAGTCTTCACGAGTACGACGACGATGGCCGTGCAGACATGCACCGAGAGTCTGTCGCTCGACCGGGATCGGTCGGCACCGCACAGGTGGGACGACGGGGATTCGCTCGCAGCGAAGCTCGATCGTACTGCGCAGCACCATGCACGGCATCGGCACGGCACAGGGTATGTAGCTAGGACTTACAGCTAATGTGTGGTCTAATCACCGAGGCCATGTTTGATCCCTATAGATAGTAGCTATAGATAGATAGTAGCTATAGACCCTATGTGTTGGGGTCTAAATACCGAGTACCTAAAAAGAAGGAGCTAATAGCCGTTAATGGTAATGGTTCTGAACAAGACAAGGGCACAACTACACCTCTTGCCCGACCTCTGGGGATTGGCTCCGCCTCGTTCAACCCTTGAGGGACGGTTCCGCCTCGTCTGACCCCTGGGGGCCAGTTCCGCCTCGCCCGAGGTCTGAGGGCTAGGCTCCGCCTCGCCCGACGTCTAAAGGCTGGCTCCGCCTCGCCCGAGGTCTGAGGGCCCGACTTTGCCTCGCCCGACGTCCGAGGGCTGGCTCCGTCTCGCTCGACGTTCGAGGGCAGACTCCGCCTCGCCCGACGACTGCGCGTCACTCCTTCATAACTACGCGCGCAGATAAGACGGGGCACTCAAGTCAACCGTAATACTGAGGACCATATACCGCATGTCTCCGCAGGAAAGTACCATCGGATATGACAAGACAGACGCTTTAAACCCCTCCAGGCATGTCAGAGCCCGAACAATGTTGTAGGCGCCGACATTTGTCTTACAGTGTTGTGGGCGCCGCCATTTGCCCTCGGGCGCGGATCCTGACGGAAGCATACGACAACCACTATGGTCCAGGAGACTCACATCATCTACAAGATTTAATGCACGGTCATCGCGCCGCCGCCCCAAGAAGGTCGCGGATCAAGACCCTGGTCTGTCGCGCCGTCTCACGTAAGAAGGTGATGGGACGTGACACACTTGCTAACATGGCGTAATATGCGCCTGAGAATGGAGCTATCCTGGCGCGCCGCTCGGGCCGTGTCGGCCGAACTCACTCAAAGGAAAAGAAGGACCCGGCGTCGTTGAAGGACCTCCTTGACCTCCGGTTTTCTCCCTTCTCCCATTTGTAATCCCCGCTTCCCTTGGTCTATAAAAGGAAGGCAGGGCACCCCACTAAGGGGATAGATCGATTACACACACATCACACCACATAGCTGAGTTGTACCGAAGCTTTCAGCACTCGTACGACATTTCCATCCGAGACTTGGGACCTGTCCCACTCTCATCCATTTGTACCCATACTACAAACTTTTCAATGCTAATACACGAGCAGTCACCATGAACTGGACGTAGGGACATTCTGCCCGAACCAGTATAATCCTTGTGTCATTTTTTAGCACACCATCCGGGACTAACGCGCAATAATACAAATTTACTCGTTGGTGTTTACTCGAAACACCGACAGTTGGCGCGCCAAGTAGGGGCCTTTGCGCGTTCCGACATCAACATCAGGCCATGGATGGCTAGCCACGATATCAGCTAGGTCCTGGGCGCACACGTACGTTTCGGAGACCTCGATTTCATCATCGCGACGGAGGGAGACCTTACGCGGACACCCATCGCCGTTCAAACCTATCACTCCGCCGGCCTCGACACACTCACCGAGATGTTCCCGTTCGGTCTCCGCAACGCTGCAGAGACCGTCGGCCACCTTGTGGCGCAACGCATGGTTCCATCCCCCATGAACGACGAGTTAGTGGGGATGATCGAACACGTCGCGGAATCTGTCCACGAACTCCTTGTAGAGGAGCCGGAATAACCCTCTGGCTCTGAGTCCAGCAAGGGAAGCCACCTCCCGTGAAAGCATCATGGCGAATACCCTTGAGGGACACGTCAAAAGCATTCCCAGAGAGGAGGCAACCCTGACGAATGACCTTGGCGACGAAGCCGAGGGAGAAATGGTGGCCCCACCTCGCTTGACGGTGGAGCAGCTGAAAGCTCGACACCAAGAGCTCGATGAAGCGCGACTCTAGCTCAAGCAGGAATGCGTGGAGCTCGATCGGGAGATCGGGCGCCACGGAGATGGCAGGCGCGCACGCGCCATGGCCCGCAACATGAACCGGAGGATCATCGACGATGATGAAGGCCTCCCTCGCTTCGTCCAAGCAAGCCAGAACATCGCCGCTGCGGTGGCCTTGCTCCATGGCCTTCCAGAGGCAGCGACGCCCGAGGATCGTCGGGCCCGCAACGAGATTCGCACGTTGCTCGAGCGTGCGACGACACAGCAGGCCAAAAGTTCATTGTCTCGACGACGTGAGCTCGACGCCAGCCAGCGCACGCCCTCAGAGCATCCTAGCAGGGATGCGTTGGTCCACCAGGAGCCACAAGGAAGTAGGCAGCCCACCGCAGTCCTGGTGCGTCAGCGTCTCAGCCGCAACTGTGACGCACGTGACACCCTCGACACCCACAGACGCGCCTACAATGACCCGAGAGAGGGAGCTAGATGTGGCTATCACATTCACCGTGGCGGACGCTACGACAACGGCGAGGACCGAAGCCAGGCGGGGGCCTTAGGTGTTTGGCCGACACATCCTCAGCGCTGCCTTCCCGCCAAGGTACCGACCACCAACCAATATCCCAAAGTACTCTAGGGAAACAAACCCTGGACTATGGCTCGAAGACTACCGGCTTGCCTGCCAAGCTTGTGGTGCGGATAATGATGACTTCATTATTCGCAACCTTCCATTGTTCTTAGCCGATTCAGCAAGAACTTGGTTGGAACACCTTCCGTCCAATAGAATCCTGAGTTGGGCGGACTTAAAGGAGATCTTCGTTGAAAACTTCCAGGGCACATACAAGCGCCCTGGAAACTCGTGGGACCTCAATAATTATGGATAGAAGGTCGGAAAAACCCTCCGTGGGTACATCCGGCGCTTCTCGCTACAATGCAACGAATTCCCTAATGTCGCCGACGCCAACGTTATTGGAGCTTTTCTGTCCGGGACCACCTGCGAGTCTCTGGTTCACAAGCTGGGGCGTAAGGGCCCGTGAACCACCAAGGAGCTCCTAGACATCGCCACCAGCCACGCCTCAGGCGAAGAAGCGATCGAAGCGATCTTCGATCGCCTCGATGGTAAGGTGAAGCGAGACGAGGACACCGACGAAGGCGCCTCCAATCATTCCGCTAAGAAGAAGAACAAGAAGCAACGGCACGAGGGCTCGCTTGTAGCCGTCGCTGACCGCAAGGGTGGTCGGAAGCCCATGGAAGGCACTCTGAACCACTTTGAAAAACTACTCGAGGGGCCATGTCCAAACCATGCTTTCCTGGTCAAGCATCTGTACAAGGACTACAGCCTCATGCGGCGGTTCTTGTCCGGAGGCTCCAACAAAGGGGAGCAAGGAAAGGACCCTGCCCCCACCACGGACGACGCCGAGGAGAAGGAAGGCGACTTCCCGACGCCTGACGGCTGCCTCATGATCTTCGGGGGTCGACGGCCTATGGCTCCAAGCGCCGCCAGAAGGTCGCGCGCTGTGAGGTCTATACGACCGAACCGGCCACACCCACTTTCCTCCGGTGGTTAGAATCTGCCATAACCTTCGACCGGACCGACCACCCAGAGAGTGTCTCGCAACTAGGGCGATATCCTCTCATGGTCAACCCGATCATCGACCCAAAGCGTCTCACTAAGGTACTGATGGACGGAGGCAGCGGCCTCAATATCATGTACGCCGAGACGCTCAACACAATGGGCATTGACCAGGAGCACATCCGGCCAACTAGAGCGCCTTTCCATGGCATTGTGCCTAGAAAGCAGGCCATGTCGTTTGGGCAAATCGATCTGCCTGTCACTTTCGAGGGTCCGTCCAACTACAGGACGGAGACCCTCACCTTTGAAGTGGTTGGGTTCCTTGGAACTTACCATGCCATCCTGGGATGACCATATTACGCGAAGTTCATGGCC